TCATTTTTCACTGTAGTTTCAAATGTAATCACATAATTCATTAGGAATTTAGTTACAAATCTCTATGTGTTTAATTAACTAAATCCTCATTGTGACATATTGATGGGAGTTCAAAATCTTCTTCTCATACTCATAAAAATGCTTGTGGATTGTCATCTTCTTTGGATACTCAGCCTAAATGATTAGCTTGCAAATCCAAATTGTAGCATCCTTTCTAAATTGCCAAAGGCTAATCAAACCCCAAAAACAAAGGCTTAAAAGGAACATAAGAAATGAATGACAACCCCCTTAACGTTTTGTCTGTCTTTCAGGAAACCATTTTGACAAATTTTCCTTGAAAGCAAGCTCCAGAGGGAATTAATGACCAGTAGTTGGCTCCAAAACTAGCATCATTCAATGATCTTTTTTTAAAGAAAGAGGATGTCCATAATAAATAAGAGTAAATCTTATATACTCTTACCGTGTATACACTATCACAGTTGAATATGTGACACATATGTAAAATTTATATTTTAAATTCAAATTATGTGTCATGTATCCAATGATGAAAGTGTACACACTGTCAGTGTATATATAAAAGATTAATTCAATAAATAACCAAAAAAAAAAAAGTAAATTGAAAGATTGTATAGTACATGCTTATCTACCTCGATGTTGCTATATGATTATTCAACAATTTGTCGGCAATTATATTAAGCAATCAAAGGAATCAATTATTGATCATTCCTGAATAATAATAGTTAAACCGGTTTTGGATATGTGTCTGATATTGGATTTGGTGCCCTTTTGCTTTAGATCTTATCATTTCTTTATGAAAGGTCAGGTGAGCTTTTGCAATCACAGCAGTCCATGCCAAACAAGATGTACTATAAAGATCATTTCATCTACAATTCAAATTGACGAGTTTAGTTATGCAATTTCTTTCTTTCTTTTTCTCTTTTTGGTGGGGAAGTTTTGTATAATTCTTTGGTTATGTTGGAAACGAAGAGAGTCAACCTAAAATTTGTGGGATGAGTTGTGCTTTGGATTTCTCTTATAGTCAATGATGAGGTATTGTCTGCCAAGTATTTTGAGGCGCAAAAATACAGAGTTTCAAGCTGCAAATTTTGTACGTTTTAAACCAAATAATATTTTCACATTTTTTTATAAAAAAAAATCATCATTCATTAAATCTGCAGTAATGACAGAAATTATATCAACCATATACAGAAGCAAATAGATCTGAAGAACAAAACTAGATACTACAGATATGAAAAATTAAGAGAATGTTAGATTAAAAAGTTAAGTATTTTTGAGTTTCTATTTTCACATTTATGTCAATGAAAAAAAAAAAAAACACTATCCTTTTTGTTTCTTTTGGCAAAGTGATCATCAAGAATGTTCCAATGTCACAACAACATATTATGACTTGGCAACAGGGAAATCCAGTGGTTACTTGCTGAGTTAAGTTCAATTCCCAAATCAGCAAAAGAGAATTGAATTGTCTTTACATTGTGAAAGCACTCAAATTCCAATTTGCTTTCCTGGCTCGGTAGTAAGTGAACTTGTTTTTGTGGACCACAAGACACTTAAATTGCTATTCCAACTTTTATTAACCCCAAAAGGCAATGATGAAAGAATGATTATATTTGGTTAATCAAAGCTAATTTGCAAATGACGTATTTGATTTATACCCAATAATTTTCTAGGGTTTACAAAAGCACGCTGATAATGACGGGATATTACCGACCTTTCTCTTTATTTTATGTTAAAAATTGCTTGTCATGCTAACCCAAAAAGTAGAGGCCGAATAGAGTCCATTAATCACACATCAATTTAATTATACGTTAATCTCTTTCTTTGACTAATCCAACTTTTGACAAAGAGATTTATCGGCCAAAAGACAGTGTTAGTTAATGTCGTTTGTCGTTTAATTACTTTTTATCAGAAAAATCCATCTTCTCACGGTTGAAATTGCTCCTCCTAGTTATGGTTGATGTCCTTTATAAGCCACTCACACCGACTTGACAAATAAGTCAAATTAAGCTTCTTGATGAGCTATTCTTAATTAATCACTCTTTGCATATAATTCTTTCTTAAAAAGTTTTCAATGTCCATGTTTTCACATGTTGTAAAACTCTAAAGCAGATTTGATCGAAATGATGGATCCGGGGTTGAAACTGTTACTAGTGAAACCGTTCGGAGCAGTTTCATGCATTTGAACAAAATGTAAATGCATTTGTTCGATGTGTAAATCAATTTGAATACAGTGTAAATTTAGTTCATCTTTTATATATGGACTCCACACACATTGTTAAAATGGATGTACGACTTGTAAATTAAACCATACAATCCTTTCTTGACCGATGGAGGCTGTGAAATGTTTAGGAACCGTTGCTATTGAAGCCATTCCTGCCCCAAATCTCAAAAGGATAGACTTAACAAATTCAAACTCATTCAACATACTACTGGTCTGGTTGCATACAATTGGTAATTCTTGGTGTGGGGAAGAAGAATTCTTCCTTACTGTGCACGTAATCTAGCATGGCTAAGAAATAGCTGACAATGCAAAAGTTTTTAATAGATCTATAGCATTAAATTGGCAAATACGAACAGGAAGTGTTTTTGTTTTAGCCATTGTTTGAAGAAATACAAACAAAATATATTCGACCAATAGTTTGATAGAAACCCAAGGCCTTCTCCGATATAGAAAATCAAATTAAGTTGCGAATTTGGATGCAGTTAACTAACCCCATAATTTACGCACTTAGAATCCTCTATCCCGTGTTTATATAGATGCCATGTGTATTGATGCATTGATAACTCAAGCAAACCTTTGACTTGTTGAGTTATCAAGCAAATTTAGTCAATTAGTCAAAAGTTTGCTTGAGTTATCAATGCATCAATACACGTGGCAGCTGTATAAACACGGGACAGACGGGATAGAAGGTAATTTCAGGATAGACGATTTAAATCTAATTTACGTTGACTTTCTTAGCAATTATACTAGTATCCAGCAATTTAAAATATATGTGAAAAGAATATCCTTTGTTCCATGAATTCAAATTCAATTTTTGGTAATACAGCCAAAACGTCAAAACAGAACTTGAATCATATAAAGGTGATCACGTCAAGAAACTGAGAAATTCTCTTATGCCAATCTTTGGGACCAATATGTTCTAGCTAGCCTTCTCTGAGCTAGCTAGTATATATCTCCTTGATATATATTATTTTCAAAGCATTTAGTCAATAACTACTAGGGTTGATCTAGTGATCAGATGAGAGTTTTAAAAGTTCTCTCTGCATGCAGCGAGATTGTAACAATATTGACACATTCATGGCAGACAACAATATATAGCCTATCAAGTTATGAGTTTTTAAAACCACTTTTCTTTTCCCCCTCTTCGAAAATCACTTGTTTTCAGTGAAGCTCTAGAAAACAGAAACAGAACGAATAATAATACGACATTAGACAATGTAGAAGCATATCTAGCAAGTAACGTCCCTAGATGATCCTCAAACATATCAACTGAGCTATGGAAATATCCTAGTGAATACAGTCCAATTGTAAGGTATTCTCTTTTGTGTCCGGATCTTAATTGTTTGATTAAGAACAGAAACAGAAAAAGGTTTGCTGTATCTGAATATTCAGATGAATCTCGTTATAACCCTTTTCCACCTTGTTTAAGCCATAAAGATTCTCCTAAATTACACGATCAAAATTTGCAATGCTGACAAATGCAATTGGAGACTAAATAATAATGATGACATTTTTTAGCCTTTTCTGTAGAGCTTCCAACTAAATCAAGAATTTTCATGACTTCCAGTTCCAGATATGATTTTAGAAGATTTTCTTGCAGAAATATAGAGATCGGTTCTCGATTGCTTTTAGCTCTTCCAAACTTGTAAAAAAAGCTGTCATCTATTATGGGTATTTTGGCGAAAAAATAATCAAAATGTTACTTTGCTTATAAAGAATCTTATTGAAAACAGTTTTTTACAGAAAAAAAGATAAATAAATAAAATTAACAGGCTAAAAAAGAAACAAAAACCAACGTCTAGCTAGTTTGAAAGTATGTTGATACTAATTCAGATTTCAGGTACAATATCTCTTGTAACAAAAAAGTAGTAGGAAAGCAATTCATTCTCAAGCATTTAGTTTGCTTCAAGAAACATGAAACTAAGCAATTTATTAAATTTAAAAATTAGAAAACAATTTTGTCAAACCTCAGCTATTTCGTTGTGTTCTTGATTTCCTCGATTCAATAAATGTGCAACCGAACTTCTTCTGTCCTTTGTGCATTAGTTTTTGTGTTTATCGTCAAATTTTATGATTAAAACCACAAAGGGGACGAGTTTCTCTCTTATCTCTCTAGTATTTGCAATAAAATATCCACCTCCATGAAAGCCATGCAAGCACAGAGTAGCAATATTCATCCCCCTCTTCCTACTTCTGCAAATTTCCTACTCGAAAGAAGACAATATGCATCATCTAACTTCCTTTCTCTCCTTTTTCTTGTCCTTTGTACTTTAAGATAATCTTTATCACAACCACCTCAATTAAATGAAAAGCTGCAACCACCTTCTCATCCTAGTTTTTTCCTAGTTGATTTTCTAAATTGTTGTGTCACAAAGAGGTCCAACCCCACCCCTTCCCCACAACCAAGAAAAAAAATTAAAAATAAGGGAAATGGGCAAAAAAAAAAAATTTTAAAAAAAAAAGAAAAAAGAAACAAGAAAGATATCCTTTCCCTATATCAAATACTTAGTATATATGTTACAATGAAAAAATCTCCAACACTTTTTTCTTTCATGCAAAGAAAGTAGACTCATTTATAGCTAAGTATCAGCTCGCATTGCAATAGCATTGAAGCATTGCACTCTCGAGGCCTTCACCTTAGTCCTCCTTTGTAACTTAGGACTAGAAAAGAACTTGATTGAATACGATATTACAAAATCGTCTAGAAATATCGACGTTTTAAAATTGTTTTGTAAATTAATTCACATATGGAAAAGAACTTGATTGAATATGATATTACATAATCGTCTAGAAATATCGACATTTTAAAATTGTTTTTTTTTCATAAATTAATTCATAGGGAGCTTCCTGATGCAGATAGATCTGATTTACATTTACAAGATCATAATACAAGTCAAGGATTTTAACAAGCTAGAATTTTCAAGAAATGCTACTTCCTCTAAAGTATATAGATTGGGAAGCCCTAAAGCTAAGAGGCATGGGAGGAGGCTATGGGATTTGAACATCAATACTCTATCAGGCTACTCTGAGCTAGGATCAGAAGTTGGCGAATTGATTCTGGGAAGATTGTACCATCTGCAAATCGGTGGTTGTTTGGCAAGAGTTCTCATCACCAATCATAGTCCTGGCAATTATTGAAATCAATGATTGATTTATGACATGCATTAAAAATTGTACATATATAACTAAACAACAGCAATAAATAAAATTAAAGCGCTCCACACAGCAACATTTCAAGATGCTTTAATGATTTCCATTGTCAAGTTTTAGATGACACTACTAACTTTTTCTTTTTAGTACATTTTTTAATTTAAGGAGAATATCTTGTTCTTCTTCATGTACAAACAAACTCGTCATCTTATGACTCAAAAAAAAAAAAAAAATGAGTCACCTTACGAACCTCTTAAAAAAATGGCCACTCAACATTTTTATAAAGTTTATAAACAAGAATTAGCTTGTAATTGGGGGAAGGGAGTGTAAGTTAAAAATTCTGAGTTCGAAACCACCTACTTACACTAAAAAAAAAAAGAAGAAGAAGAAGAATTAGCTTGCAATTAGTTGTATTAATCCTTGATAATCTTCCACTACTTGAGCATTTCCCTCAAAGGGTTTGCAAATCTTAAGTAAAACTTTTGCCATTTGCATGTTCTCTCTAACAAGGAAATCAAACAAAACATAAAAAGATTTCTTTAACAAGCTCCTGATTCTAACTTGCTGATGCTTCTAATTAGTTGATCTATGTCTGGAAGAAATAAAATCAGAAAAAAATTCATCCGTTTTATCTTACTCTCTTGGCCGTGATGCCCAAAGGGAGCTAAGTGCTCGGAGTCGACCATAGTACTCTCCAATGACCAAAAAACATCGTGCCACTTGTCGAACTGTCAATATTCGCAACAGATGATGAAGAGTTTGCTGTCTTAAATTATCGGCCTACAATTCAAATTAAGATTTCAAAAGCAAAACCCTACGACGACACACCATGTTGTCATAATAATGCATAGGCAAGAAGAACTCCAAAAGATGTAGCAAAAGAGTTGAAATCATGTACGTGGTTGTTTTATTCATAGGATTTGGACTATTTTGGTGAAAGATAGATTAAGAAAATGAAGGTTAAGTTTTGAGTTGTCAACTAGCTAGTTCACAATATTCCAAATCCATCTGTAGAAAATTTGGTCGAGTGGTCTAGTAAGGGTTTTTATTTCAACAGTTGTCCCTTTCATCCACCATCTGATAGCAACACATTTTGATGGAAACATTGCATCAAATAATGTCCTTTTTGCACAAGAACATTCAAAATTAAAGAAAGGGACAACATTTAAATTAGTAAAATCACCGCTTAATCGACAAGGCGGGGGTTGTTAACCACAAATTATTCTAGTATCAGGATTAGCAAGGGATGACGAAACCATGACCTATATATATATATATATATATATATATATATATTTGGAAGTTTGAAAAGAAGTTTTCTGTGTCAATCCCTAAACTAGACTGCCCCTTTTATAAAATGGAACAAAAAAATATATTCTAGCAACGAAGGGATAGAATTTAAGAAATTGGGAGAAAAACAGGGGGATTAGAACCCAGAATCTCTACGTTTTGGAGGACTGCCCTTGAAAGTAATTCATAAAAACTTATTTTCTTCTAAGCAGGTGTCTACATTGCAATTATAGTACTACAAAAAAAGGTTTAATTGCTTTAATATACTGGGTTTTGATGGAACCATGTGTCAAGTCAATTTTTTCTTTTTTTTTCCCCCAACTTTTAAACCAGTCTTTTTCTGCTAGTGCCATGTTTTAAAGACATGCATATAGTCAATTACTTCACCAGGAAGTAATATTCACTCTGACCAAGGCCAAGGGGAAAGTTGAAAGTAGTTTTTTCCTTTCGTTAAATTTAGAAGGATTGACTCCATATTGCTTTGGATAACTTTTTTATTTTCTCAAGCAGAACCAGCTCTAGAGGGATCTTTCCCCTAGAAAAAAGGGAAAAATGAGTAAAGAATTTGATCCTGTTGGCTGTTGGAAAGAAGGGACGCAATGGGTACTCTAAAGAGTGAAAAGAAAACCCGAAAAGAAAAGAGACAGAGTTAAAAGAAGCCAAGATAAACAAGGCCCACTCCCATGCCTCCTCTACAACCTTTACAAACTCTCTTTTTATCTCCTCTTATCTTTCGGGCCATATGGATGCACAAGAACCATTGCTTATTATTGAAATTTTCTTGAATGGATCCACAGATAATTTACACCAAAGTATGGTCATCCAAACGGAAGACTGATGTGATATCGCACTTGTCATAACTTTAAACAAGAAGGATGTTGCATCAGGACACGAGAGTTGATTAAGATTTCTGCCAATTTTGCTCGTTCAGAATTAAAATGTTTTTCCCCGTTCATGCATATGACTAATCCTAGTTCCTAAATGCCAATCACATATAGAATAAACACTGGGGAAAATGCCGTAAATTCGTTTTACCTGACGGACAAAACCTTCAAGATTGGTGAGCTTGCCTAAGGCAACAGCCATGTGATGCATCCCATCATTGACAGTGCCACCGGCTATAGTTTCAATCAGAGACTGCTGCAATTGTTCCAATCCTTGCGAGAGAGCCTCCTCGGCTTGTTGCGAAGAATGTTGGAGACCATATATCCCCACAACTTGCTGCTCCGTTAAAGGGTCTAGTTGCGTTATTAACATCTGACAAAAATCAAGAAAGCCGTATAAAAACGTAAAATGGATTTGTGTGATTGATTTAGCATATGTAAAAGTGGAAGGATGAAAAGCAAACCTTGATTAGCTCAGAGGGACGAAAACCGCCCATCCAAAGAAAGCATCTTTCGGCAGGAGTAGTCCACATTCCAGTGATGAGATGGAATACATCAGATTTGGCTGCTACTCCCTTGAGGCGGAAAATCTCATCATAATGTGCAATGTATCCATCAACTATCACCCTCAGATCACCATCTGATAAGTGAGCTTGCAAAGCAGTTCGAAGCTCTGACATGTGCCTGTGATCATCATCTAGCCATCTTGCATATTCCATATCGAATATCGCAGCTCCTGCATTAAAATTAAGCAGTATTGCAAGTCCTATTAGCCTTATATATACACATGTATAAGCCCACCAGTATACTTCCTTGAGCTTTTTATTTGATTGTTTAAGCATAAAATGAATTTGTCTGATCATTTTTTGTCCTGAGAGTGGTTGCATTGACAGAATTAGTAGTGAGATTTGCAACAGTTTTTTGCTCCAGGGAAACTGTTAAAAATGCAAGGACATTCTTCTTGAAACATGCAATATCTATTGGAAGCCTTGTTAGCATCTAAATCAAAAAGACGATGGAATTAAACAAATTGTGGTCATAGTCATTCTCATATGCCAGGTTACTAAGATTTGACATGTGACGTTTGACAGATTTGACTATTGGCTCATGGGTAGAAATTTCGATTAAAAGGCAGCCGGTGTCAGATTCATGGTTGAGAATATGGGATTTCATGTTGAAATGTAGAGAACAAAGTTTGACAATTTAACTTTATTCCGCTTAGCATATAGGAAGAGTATGACTTACTTTTCCTCACAAGCATGGTACCTAATTTCTACAGTGCTGTTAACATAACTGCCAAAATTTCTTCACTATAAACTTGTCCTAACCACAACTAGAATCTAGAAGATAAAAACAGGAAAAGAAAAAGAAAATCAAAGGTGGATAAAGACAAGATGGTTAAAATGGTAAAATCAATTTGCAAATGATAAACTAACCTGAGCTGATGTTCCCACCAGGAGCACCACCACCACCCAAGAAAAATCCCTGTTGGTGAAAGAAAGTAAGAAACTAGTCATTCCCACTAGTCAGCAAGAATATCAATAAAAAAAAAAGTATTGTCCCTTTGGTTAAAAAAGGAACGTCCTTCTTAGGAACTGACCAACCTGAGCACGGGCTCGTTGAAGGTCTTGTTCAAGTTGAGTAAGCCTTATCCTGCTTGTTTCTAGCTGTTGTACATAGGCCTGCAATACAACACATTAAAAATGTCCAAGTACATAAATATGGAGAATTAGGTCAGTGGAACTTTGTTACAATTTAGTAATGCCCCAATAAGAAGCCAGAAAAATGGCACTGACCTTTTTTCTAAGCCTACTTTTCCTCGCAGCTTCTCTGTTTTGTGCTAAACGTCTCAATGTCTGCAACCACAAAGACAATTATCAATCGTGGATGAACACTTTGGAATTTCTTTATTATTAAACTGTAATTGACACTAAAATATGGCCGAATGACTCAAAAAACAAAAGAAAAGGCCGAATGAAAGAAATTAAGAAAGACAAGGTGGTGACATATCCAACAAAAAGAAGACAAGACTGTTTATATGGGCTTTTATCCTACGTTTTCTTGCATGCACACATATTCCATTTGTGTGTAAACTACCTTAGCATCGAGCACTTTCTCTGAAGTTGAACCAGGCCCTCTTCTCTGCAACATTGAAAAGTGAAATAAAACTATATAAAGAGAGTAGTTTGGTTGAGTTTGAATAGCATGCCTGATATTATAATAGTAAAATGAAAAATAAGTAGTTTACGCAATAACTGCTACATTAACAAGTTAGTAGAACTTTCGTCCACTTCTAATTTTCAAAAGGGTAGAAGAAGTGAAGGGTAACGTGTCAGCAATGCAGAATCTGTTCAAAGATTTGGTCATTTTTATTCCAAAAAATCAAACTCATAATTGTTAGGTAGAGGGTCTAGAGCGAAGACAATGTGAAAGGCATTTTTCATAATTCTGATGCTGATGTGAAAACTGTTTCTTCAAGATGGTAATAATGAGGACTGATCCCATGAACTAGCTAACGTATGCTATCAGCAGCTGTGATTCTTTTCTCGGATTTCGTTTTTCTTTCCCTAATACCAAAAGCAGATAAAGCATAAAAGACAAGTAGTTAAACTAGAGTTCTTGGGATAAGAAAAGGTGGTAATTATTATCAGAACTTAAACTACAGTTATGGAAATCGAGTAAAGGAAGAGAAGCCTCTTTAGTACAAATAAGATAAAAACAAGAACAGTGATACTGCCAGTACTGAAAAAAAGATCCGCTTTTTTTGCCTCTCATGTCAGAAACTGAATCAGAGAATCACTGAGAAATCAGAACAGGCTTCGATATTATTTTCTGACAATTGTTGGGATTTGTGATAATGAAGAGAGAACGGGAGAGTATAAAATTTCCTGAAAGGATGCCAACTTTTTCCTGGATTTTGGGATGTGATGACTGAAGAACTGGGAGACTAGACATGGAAGACTGGGAAAGTGCAAATAACCTTTTCAGTTGTGGGTTTTCCACCAGCTGGTTGATGATCCTGTGGCATTTCTACTCTCGAGCCATCATTAGCCATCTCTAGCTGTTGCTGTTGGTTTGGTAGCTGAAGATGCTTCTGCTCAAGTCCTTGAGGTTCCAATGATGATTTTTTGCTGATGGGGGATTCCGGTTCCAGTCTGGCCTCAGCTCTACTCGATAGTGTGTTTACTGCTGAACCTGAATCAGTACTCTCCTCTCCAGACTTTGAACTTCCCTAAAGTTAAAGAAACGGCCAAGAAAGCGTATTAATACCCCAAAAAAATGACACCCCAGAACATTACTATGACAAGATGTAGGCATATTAAACAGAAGGTAGAAGAATATGAGAGGAGATAGTTGAAGGGAAGTACTCTAGGAGTCTGAATAAGTCTAGTGGGCCAAGAAGGGAACATTTCCAGAGTTGCTGCAGGCCTGACGGTTGCTGCATATAAAGCTGCATAGAATCACAAGCCAAATCTTCAGAAGATCAGCTAAAAATCAAGTCTTGCAAGGACTTTCAAACCTCATAAAAGGGGAAGAACCTAATCTCCCTTTTTGCCCTCTTTCTCTCCTTTGTTCTTTCTGAAGTTATGGAGTCAGTAAGTAAATCATGCAAGGAGGTCAGGTTTCCTAGTTTGTAACCCCACGCCATTCAAGTTCTTTACCCAAGAATGATTATTGCATCAAAAATAGTAAGCCTTAGCCTCCCCGCTGGCCTCAGCAGACCACATATGTAGCTCCTTTTCTCTCTCTTTTTCTGCTTTAGGAGTTTGTTATACTTTGCAAACGTCAGAACAAGGATAAAATGATGGGGAAAGAAAATAAAAATAATGCATACGTGTTTTGGCTTCATCATTGTTGATCTTAACTCCTTGCAGCACAATAGCCTCCTCTAGCTCTCCAAAATCAAAAGCAGATCCTTCTTGATTACTGTAGCATAAAAATATTAACACCCCATGTCAGAATAAATGCAAGACTCACAGATTATTTAAAAAAAAAAAAAAGAGAGAGACTAACAAGAAAAAAGACGAAAGAACTTAATGATCTGAGGTGATGGAAAAGTACATGAAGGATGTACTAGGAGGGTTGAGCCCACGAAAAACAGCGTAAGGCATAGTATTGTGGTGATGATGATGTGAGGGTCCTGAGTTGGAAAAACCAGCCTCACCAACTCTTTGACTCGCCATGCAAGAACCCAAAACTTCTTTATCAGACCATACTTGTGTTTCTGAAAGAAGAAAACTGCAGCAGCCAAGTGTGAGATACAAAATTTTACTACAAGACGGCTGGGAAATGAATGGTTTTAGATGGAAACAAGGATCAGGGAATGGAAAGTCGGAGTTTTCCACATGTTTCACCTCAGTTTTCTATGGGATGCACCACCAAAAAGTCCTCTTTTCTACAAGTTTTGATGCATAGAGCACAAGAAAACGAGAAGGAAAAACAAGAGTGGCTAAGAATCTAAGAGCAAAATTGCGAAAAGGATTAAGGCTAGGGGAGGGCTCCTCCAGTCTTTTGTTCTCTCAAAACATGCCCTCTCTTTTTAAACGGTCTCTAATATACTCCCTCTTGTGAGTTGTGATGACACGCCTTTTCTTGATGATCTTTCGTAGCTCTCTCTATCTATCTGCTTTTCTTTCTCCTCTCCTTCTCTGCGAAGGAAATTGTCAGATTATTCTGTTGTTTGAGTTGCTTTTATCTGCTTCTGGTGTAGATAGAAGTAACGAGGGGTCATTATTATTTTTTTTCAAAAATGAAATGAGACTCCCATCCCACCCCGGATGGTACACCAGATCTTCTCCTTGAAAAACTACTTTGTCTTTGGCCCTCTAGACCTGTGGCTCTGCTCGGCTCTGGCTCTGGCTCTGGCTCTGACTTTGTGACTTTGTGGGGTTTGAAAGGGAAAAAAGAAAAACACAAAAAAAAGAAGAAAATACTAGTTTAAACAAACAAATATTTTGTAGTATAGTACGTCAAAGAACCACGGTGGGGTCTTTGGCAGGAAGTGAACCCACTAGAATCAAGTGACTCCTACTCCACTTCCCTTTCTCTAACCGCCTGAGATATGTTATTGGTCCTTCTTTAGGGGCTCTTCAGAGTTGGAAGTACTAACATGAGGAAAACGATTAAACAAAGTAGTGCATCAATTTCAATTTTCAACATTCCGTTGGAGATGGACAATCTTTTCTTTCACAACAATGTGAAATAAAAGAAAATGGATTAATGTGTTTTCTTGATCTTTCATTGTCTTATGCAGGTAAGAAGGGATTTGAGACACGTAACACACATATTACGACTTACTTAATTTACGGTTCATAACGTGTCTCGTTTTATTATGTTACTATTATTTTCTTTCTTTGTACTTATATTTGTAAGTGCATATTAACTATGTGGCAAAGTGACTTGTCTGACTTGAATCCAAGGATAGAGGTGAGGAGAGAGGTGTGTGCTTTGACAAGTATGGCCCTAGGTGGAGAAAAAAATATATAGAGAAGATAAAGTACTATTTGAGTTTAAAATCTTGGCTTATAGCCTTTCAACCAAAACATTAGAATAATCACCAATGAGAAAACCCACTTGTTTTGATTATTAAGCCAAACTTTGAGATGGATTTGTTTGGTATTATCCCCTTTGTTGAAGGGTCAACATCCATTCCCTGTCATCACCTAAAACCATGCCACAAATTGATTCCTTTCCCTTAACTGGAATTTCTATTCAAACTACTACTATCCATTGGTACAGGTCCATGGCAGAGTGGACTTTATTACATCTTCCAGATCAAGGTCTTTTGGGACATGCATTAGGCATGCTTGTGTACCCTTAATAAATGTTCCCAACCCACCTTCCTTAAGGATAAAGCCCCTGTTCACAATCTATAAACTGCCCTTTTGTTATCTTGAAACATAGTCCCTTGAAGGCTTCTGTTTCCACTCTAGGTTATGGTTCTGGATATTCATGAATATCATTGATGACCAAAACATATTTATTGTGCTGAAACTTTAGATAATGGACCCATAAATCTTATATATAAAGAGGTGGTGGACACAACCATGATAACTACTATTTTGTGTTCATCCATTACCTTTGCTGGTAAAATGCCATCTACCAATTATTCCTTCTCAAAACCAATGATTGACCAAGAAAAGGTTAGGTTAGATGTAGATGTTCTTCTTTCAGTTTCATGGATTAGGTACGCCAGTGATAACTTTGTATCTGATGCCACAATTCCAATATTCCTAGTAAATCCCACATGTTTTTTATCACTACAGTTGCCAAAGATTTAGCCATATGTAATGTATATGTGATATGGCATTTCTTGGATTTGCATTCACCAAAAATGCCCTTGTTTATTGTTTGCTTGCACCTTTGTCTGCAGGATGCTGATTGGCCTGAATGATATGTAAAGCAATTGTCAGTGATTTTGCAATCTTGTTGGACTGGATTAATTCCTTGCTTGTTCCATAAGCATGGAACTTAAACAAACTACAGGTCATGTTCATTATTGTAAAATGTTTCTTCACAAAATGACCAACTTGTTATTAAATCCTCTGTTGAATGTGCCATTATTAATTGAACTGAAGATGGCTGACCAGGAAGCTGATGTTATAAGGGCTTGTACAACAGTATAACTGCTAGATTGTATTACACGATAACAAATCTGAACTCAAGAAAGAAATAATTAACATATTCATGGAGATGAAGTACACATGATTCTCTTGAATGTCCAGTTCTCTAACTTTTGGATCAAAATTTGAAACTAGTTCTTTATACTTACAATTCCAAAGTTTGGAAGTTTTCAGTCTGCAGGTATATTATTGCTTCTTTGACCAGGACTCCTTCAATTCTCAAATACCCTTTTCCAGTCGCAGGTCAAATATTCCAGAGGAACTTGTACAAACTTCACCAAATTAAGCAGGTAGAAGAGAAGTGTTTTAGTAGTTTTAGTGCACTTGATTGTCTTCCAAAGACTTAAGCAGGATATCTTATGCTTCAGAGCTTAAACTATCTTAGAATTGACAGCTGAAATTGAAAAAAAAAAAAAAAAAGACAATAATAAAAGATTGGCTTGCATTTCAGATAGGTGCATTCTGGTTGAGTAGTTGTTTTGTCACGTAGTCAAATTGCAAATGCAGTACCCTGTTAAGCTTGATTCTATATATTTCATGTCTAAATACAAGCAGTGATCTGTTTCTCCAGCTATATCTATATGCTCTGTAAAACAACAGAGATATATATATGCATATTTACTCTATTATTAATTTATTCTAGCTTCCTAGTTGTTCAAATCTCCACAGGACAAGAACTTGATGCATATCTTAGCAGCTAGGAGAAAGATCTTATTCACCAACTCAAATAATTTTTTATCAACAGCATCCCCTAGATATTGGGCCGAATGTTTTACTCAGGTAATCATCCATCATCACAATATTCAATTAGTTTTTGAATGTACAACGTATTAAAAGATAATTGCACTTAAATGGTTAGACTGGAATTAATAATTGATTAGGAAACGACTGATATGAACATCTATGTTACTAGTAAAACATAATTGCAATTGCGTGAATTGACTGGAAAATATATTACTTAATTACACAACATATTGAAGTTTTGACCCTCAGCTATTGCATTGCCGGCCAAGTTCGCAGCAATTTACAGAGATTGATGTGATTCAAGATAAAATGAAAGTAAATTAGTGTTGCTAAGCAACGGATGTGCTGTGGGAACTTGTGTCATCAATATCTATCGCAGGGTTTTCAAGTATAGAATCAAAGGGATGAGACGGTTCTTGCCATAAGAATTTGTTCAGGCTAATTTGTCTAAATTACATAAGAGGAACTAATGCCTTTTACATAGATGCGATCCAGAAGTATTTGTGATATAACAAGTACTATTAGGTTCATGAGTAAAGGATTATATCTCACATTGGTCCGAAAGATAGAGAAAAAACAGTTAATACGTAAGTAATGGCCTGAAATCTAATGGTTTAAACTTTTGGATTAGAGTTGGATTCCTGACTTACGTATTAGGCTTTTTGGTAGACTCTTTCAAGGTGTTTCTCCCTATCAAATGTGTATTAGAGTTTCAATTTGTGAGATTGAGCTACATATGGGCAAGTGGATTCTTCTCGGATTGGAACGGTGAAAATTCTCTTCTTGATGGTGGATCGAAGTGCCAAAGTGCTAAGAAGTTTGGCTAGTATTGGACCAGGTGCGCCATGGGTTTGGCAAGGAGTCCAGTTGGTGTTAGACCAAAGAGCCAAAGGTTGGCAGGGGTCCAGAATGCAGTTTGGATGTTGAACAAGAATGAGTCCATATTTGGGAGAAGAGGTGACCTTAGGTGATAAGATGAACTTGCGTTGAGTATTAAAGTGGGTTTGAAAAAGGACTTGTAAATTTGGGTTTAATGCGGGGTTTACTCATGAATGGGGAGATTTGTTAAGTTCATGAGTAAAAGATTATGTCTCACATTGGTCCGAGAGATAGAGAAAGAGCGGTTAATATTTAGGTAAAGGTCCGAGATCTAATGATTTAAGATTTTGGATCAGATTTAGGTTCCTAACTTATATATTGGATTCTTTTATGGACTCTCTCGAGGAGTTTCTCCCTATCAAATACTAAGAGGCAAATATCTCAATAATCACATCGAAAATATCCCAAATCAAGAAGAAGTATTTGTAATATTTGAGATGGTAAACATGGTGTTGTGTAACACTAAGAAAGAAATCCAAAGAAATGAGAAATCTAACAATAGATAGAGTTGATCTTTACTTCAATTAAAGGGTCCTTTTAGATGGTGTGTTTTTTTTTAAAGTTTTTATAAAATTTTACTTTTAACATACTACAGATAAAAATTGTAGAAAAATTTTATGTATTTGTGTGTTTAGGAAATGTATAAAAGACCTTTTTTTTTTTTATTTCTTCTTCTCTTCATCTTCCTCCTTCCCCTGCCGCCACCTCCCTCCCCACCTTTTTTGCCCTCTCCTCCTTCCTCTCTCTTCCTCCCTCGCCTCCTCCCTCTTTTCCCTTCTCCTTCTTCTTCCTTATCTCCACTCCCCCCTTGTCCTTTACCTCTCACCCCTTTTTCCCCTTCCCCTTCCCTTGCCATCCCTTCTTTCTCCTCCCTTTCGCCTGTCCCTTTCCCCTACCCTCTCTTGCAGGTCGCATGACCAGAGCCGATTGTAGCTCTAGTCGCACAACTAATACAAAAAGGGGAGGAGATAGGAATGGGTGAAGGGGGAAGGGGGAAGAGGGAGTGGTAGGGGAAGAAGAAGGAGAAAGATGGAAGAGAAGTGGAAAGATAGAGGAGGAGTGGGAGAGAGGAAAAAAAAGAGAAGGAAAGGAGAGCCTGCAGGAGTGCCAATCGCACTGATTGGTTGAGGTGGGGAAGGAGGGAAAAAAAAGGGAAAAATTTCTATATTTTTAGATATTTTGGAGCGTGTATTTTAAAAATTTTAGGATGTTTTTGAAAGGTTACTGTAGACAAAAGTTGTTAAAAAAAAAACTTATCTGTTAAAAACAACGGAGGGCAAGAAACAAGGCTTCCAAACAAAGCCAAGATTGTTTACATATTTTTTTCACAAAAATATTGAATATGAAATTTTAGATTAGCATCAAAATTATTTCTAACAGCAAGCTCCAAAGATAGAATGCACTTCATAATTTCTCAATGGCAATCCAAATTTCGAACTCCAATATGACTAGGGTTACAAACGAATCGAGCTGCTCGCGATCGACTCGAGTCCGAACTCAACTTGGGATCGAGTTGACCAAGTCGAA